GGGAATTTAGTATAAAGCTTGTGTTTTTATTTCTGTCAAAAAATGAAAACAACACGTTATAAATTTCATGCGTCCGAAGCACTTTTCTGGATTTACTTTCATCAGGAACGCTCTAAGCCGAATATTTGAAAGCCAAGGATGTATAAAAACAGAAACAATTGAAGAGCTATATAACCAATAGGACCTGAGAAAAATAGCCAAATCCATCTAAGGTCAACTTTGCTTGAGGGAATTGAAACCTTAGTTTCCTGATAATTTCAAAATTTATAAACGGACAATTTTAGAAAGGTTTGTTATAAAACATGTCAGTACCGAAGTACTGACTACTGAGCTGACGATACCCCGGGGACTGATAGTCCACCAGCAGCGGTATCGACCCAGTGCTGTAAAAAATTTAAGCAACACGTTATAAATTTCATTCGTCCGAAGCGCTTTTCTGGATTTACCTTCATCAGGGACGCTCAAAGATGAATATTTGAAAGCCAAGGATGTAACATAACAAAGAAGGCCGCCTTGGTTAAAAATAGAACATAAGGGAAAAATGCATTAATTGTCTTTATATCTTGAAAACATAACAGATGGAGAGAAACATCTTAGTGAAGACTTTTCGTATAGAAAAGTCATTGGAAGCTAAATAAAATTCTCTATCCAAGCTAACTTTTAAATTTTTATAACGTAAGATCTTCAAAAAAATGTTATGACTGAAACCATTTGATGACTCCTTATAGGAGTTATTGCCCTTAAATGTTGATTGTTTTACTTACTATATACTTTGATAATTATCTTTAAAACTATAATATACACATCTAGGTAGAAACTGTAATCAGTTAAAAGGATCATCAGAACAAGATCTACAAAAGTGCCTCTAAATAAGATCTACAAATAAGCAAACATAACTGATTGCAATAAAGGTAAAATTAATTTTCAAATGTTAACCAGGTGAGCGATTTAGGCTCTTATGAGCCTCTTGTTTATATCCATATTGGATATAACCTTATCTAAAACGCTACCACGTCATTTTTTAATTTGGATTTTTGTATTTTGAACCACCTAATGAAATATTGGCCGTCCTCATTTTGATACTTGATACTACATAATGTCAAATGTACAGTTGGTTGAGGGAGGTTCAATGGGATATCTAAAATGAATAGCATTGACTAATTATCGTAAACACCTTTCCATCCTCTTTTCTTCGATTGTGACATAATCGAATGAGCCTTTGGCTTTTCACCAAATTTGTACTTATCATGAATAGAATGTCCCTACTGAAGCATTATCTGGTTAACCTTCAGGAGCACCAGATATTACCACCTGTTTAGTGGGGGTCGTGTTATTTAAGTTTGAAGTTTTCTATTAAGTGTGTTGTGGACTTGTTTTCTTTTCGACTACTTTCGGGGGTGGGGGGTGGTTTTCGTTTTCTTTTTTTTTTTGCCATGTCAGTGTTTCTTCGTATTATGAGTTTTAATATTCACTTGGTATCTTCCGCCAATTTTTATGCACGATACCAGATTAAAATCATAAATATTCTAAATAAGATGCTACTTATATCCAAATTTGATTTAAATACAAAATAAAGTTGTTGCAATGAAAGAATAGCCAAACACTATACTACTGATGGACTGCGATGGTCTTAATAATTTTTCATATCATTGGAATCTCACGGAAAGTAAATATCTTGTAGTATTATAATAAAAAAAAACAGTAAAGATAACCTTGAGTCCAGTGATTATACTTTTATTCGAAAATGCTATATATATATGAGGTCTGTCGTTTCAATACAAGATCTAATCACTTTTATTTTGGCAGGAATTCAATTTTCCAAGAAGAAAATGAACTTGTTTTTTCCAACAAGTTCATTATTATTTAGCAAACTCGTTGCTATTTGGCCTGCAGTGACTTCTTTTATTTCTTAGTGACAAATTTAGATTGGAATTACAATGAAAAAGTCTTGATCAAGTCCTAGTAACATATAGATACATCTGCTGTCGTTTTAAAACAGATCTGAAGTTATGTTTTGTATCTTTGCTTTCAAGGCAGTGTTTTCTTCTTTTATAACAGGCAGGCGAATTTAACCTTGTTCCCAAATCTCTCTAATATGTGTTGCTGTAGTCATAAGTATCATGTTTTAAAATAAACATGTAAAAATTTAATAAACAAAGATCCTAATAAAATATAGCTAAAAAATGAATAATCCCCAAATTTTCAATCCATTTTTTTATTTATATCATAACATTAAAATTCTAAACAATAACAAGGACAAACTAACAAATATTATTGAAAATCGTAATTTCCTGTGTTCAAAATTTTCATAACTTTGTTGTTACGAATTATCACTATTGTTCAATTTGCTCTACATTTTAAAACATTTAATTTGTAAGAAGTCGGTGATACCAAACTTATAGAGTAGTCACGTTGTCAAATATGGAAACGGTGAACAGCACAATAACTAAAAATGGGGGGGGGGATATTTTAGCTTTATTGCGTTCCTATAACTGTGGCTTGACTGTTAGTGTTGCTCTCCACCTATTGCAACTTATTCAAAATTCTGACCAAATTGCAATTTGTTTTATAAAACCAAACTGTTCAACTGGTCAGAAATTTGAACAAACAGCTGTAGAAACCCACAGCTTAGTCGGGAAAGTGCAAGGTGATAAAATAAAGCATACTTACAATCCTATCAGACTTTAATTCCACTTCAATGTTATTATGAAAAATCAGTCTTACAGTTTGTATAGAAATTTTATTGTTATTGTCATGCTAAAGGTGATGGATAGAAATTTTAAATTGCTATAAAAATGTGAAATTACAATACGTTGTTAATAAGTTTCCATGGGAGATAACCTAAAACATTATTCTTTTGAATATAGAAGACTTTTTGAAAGAAAAATTGATTATTTCCCATGAAAACTTCCTAACAATGTATTGTAATTTCACACATGTTTTACTGTTATTGTCATGCTGAAGGTGATGGATTATAAAATGTTTTAAGTCAAATGATGTCTGATTCTTATGAATATAGAAGACTTTTCGAAAGAAAAATTGTATGAAACCTTAGTCTGGACATTTTTATAGCAATTCAAAATTTCTATCCATCACCTTCAGCATGACAATAACAATAAAATTTCTATACAAACTGTTAGACTGATTTTTCATAATAACATTGAAATGGAATTAAAGTCTTATAGGTTGCATTTCTGTAAATATTGACAATGCAATTTCCCATAGGAACTCCTTTTACGGCTAAAACTGTACCACTTTTACTATGAAATTTTGAAAAAAATCATATCCTAGAATGGAAAGTTCATATGCACTACTTTTTTTTAAAGGTCAAAATATAGGGCTGTGCGGCATATTTTCAACGTTTATATGCCCCGAACTTCTAAGAGTTTAAACTAACACTAAATTTCTTAACTACCCCTACCTTAACTGTAGGATTACCACAGATTTCAATATAAACAATATGCATATGTATATTTACTGGTAACATTCCCAAGGTATGTCTCTATGAGATGAAACATAGAGATCATAACTGGGAACCAGTATGTAAACAAAATTAATTATCTATGAATATTCTATATCTCCCCAAAAGAGGCGTGGTTTGAGAAACAGCTGTATTTACAAAGTGCAACCTATAGGATTGTAAGTATGCTTTATTTTATCACCTTGCACTTTCACGACTTGACTGTGGTTTTCTAGAGCAGTTTGTCCAAATTTCTGACCAGTTGAACAGTTTGGTTTTATCATGGAAGTAATATTCCTTTTAAATATTACTTCCATGGTTTTATAAAACAAATTGCAATTTGGCCAGAATTTTGAATAAGTTGCAATAGGTGAAGAGCAATACTAACAGTCAAGTCACAGTAACTGTAATGTAGTTTACAAACTTGAAGTATCTGCAAATGAAAAATAATAGTAAACGATTGTTTCTAATAATAAATATATAGCAATTCATTTAACAATTAAAATTATTGGCAGACTGCTGTTCATGTTTACTGTATTTTCTACTATTTTAGTTTCCTCTATATTTTGTATGACACTCTTCCAGTCAACTCGCAGGTTGATTTCGCCTTTATGACATTCATACCTCTATTTATCTTAGTGCTGTGTGCTTCGGTTTCCCCATATCCAGAAATCAACGCCACTTTGCTTATTTGAATATTATACTAAAGAAATCGGATACGGGTCACGGAAATTATATTGAAATGATAGGGAATTTAGAAAAAAATGTCTGTTTTAACTTTGATTTAAGTGATAGACAGGTTGCCGGGGCAGAAAATAAATATACACAACAATATACACCATTTAAACTAAATATAATGACTGGCGTTGCAAAAATCAAGGTTCCTGAGCTATTTTAAAAATCGAAGCGAGAGGCTTTTAACATTGCAGTATAAAATACAGGCTAAAATGGCTGAAACGTCAAATTTGCAAACTTCGTGTTGAAAATTGGCTAACAAGGTCATTAGAAATACAGGTTGCCGGGGTGAAACTCGAAACTTGAATGTCCAAAGAATAAGCAAGTCCTAACCTTGTATGTGTAGTCGTTGAACTATAGGTTCCCACGTAAAGTTAAAATGCCTCTATTTCAAGAAGAATAAACTCACGAAAACACGAAAATTTCACTAAATTCGCTTTCATTGTTTTGATTTTGACCGCCTGACAACTTTACGGAAATATCAGAGTGATTATAAACAAGGACTCTGTGACGGACAACTTATAATATCCGTGTTTTAAAGATTTTAATGATTTCAAGCCAGTCCAGTTCAAACTATTATCACGTGGTACAATTCTCATTTACATATTATGAATATTAATTAGCAAAAGTAGTACTAATTTCTGGCTATGCCCCTTTTTGTTGAAATGTTCATGTCTTAATGATTTTTAGAACATTCTTCGCTCATTTTTCACAAATTACATTTAGTAAATTATGTTAATTTCTAGTATCTTAAACAAGTCGTAATTGTAAAATTGAAGAGAGAAAAAAACACAAAAACAAACCGTAAAAAACAAAATTTATTGTTTATAACGACAAAGGTGGATTGACTATATAGTAAAACTATATATAATATATAACTACTCTCGACCTACTCCGTCCACTTACCACATGACAACCTCTGACAAACGTAATGATCATAGATAGATTTCATATGCTTAAAAGGGAAACGTTTAGATGTTTAGTTTTACGGTTCAAATCTATCAATTGCATTTCCAGGAGCTACAAAATTATGCTACATTTCAGGATGTATAGATGAAATTGCATGAAGGTACAAACCATTAAGATATATTGAAGTATGAATGTCATATAGAGAAATAGATATTGGAAACTGAAATAGTATAAATATGAAAAGAGTTATGTAGGAAACAACTTCAATAATCTTACTCTATTCAGATAATGATGGAGTGAGTGTGCAATTATGCAATGAAACTCTTAATCCATAAAATCGAGAGAGAGAAATAAAAATGCAAGGAAGGTTTGCTTACGTCTAAATGCCGTTTACTTCATCCGAATTGACAACGAAATTGCCTCATAATCATTATATAATGTTTCAGTGAGGAGTGGAGTTACAATGACACCACAAAGTATATACATATAACAAGACATTTAAACAATTCCTAAGTCTGTGGTGTGTTTTAAACAACATGATTGTATTGTGACTATATATAGATATGGCACTAAACTTTTATAATATAGCTGCCTATGAACACTTATCATTATTTTACATTGTATATTTATCTTAAACTTTGACCAATAATCTCTAAAAGTGAACGTTTGAAAATTTACTGTTTCATAACTTAAAAAAATAGGTAAAGTTTGATGTACACTAAAACATAATTGGTTGATTAATGATTACCATTTTAACAATTTTGTATATTATAGTCACCCATCAAAATTTTGAATGATTGTAAGGTATACACTATAAAGACGGACAATGACCTTGTTACAACTAAAATAACGAAAATAAATGCACATGACAACGTCGAGATTTCAACAATAAAACTAAAGATATGTAAACCCTGAAAACGTGAAAAGATAATTTCCCAAAGTATCAGTAGTTACCGCAATACCCTATTATTTCAATATATGCTAGCTGGAGGCTATTCGCCTGCTTTTTTTAAATGCGTAGACGCACATGTTTTCTGTAAAGAATATTGCACGAGGATAATCAATTAAGTCTGACTCGCTAAACAAAGCATCCAGTCGCAAATCTTGTCGCATAAATTGAACCGCTGACTGTTCTATAATATTAAGTGACCTTTCTTTTCTACCATAATATTATATAATATTCATTCTATCCTTTTTTGAAAATGGTAAATTATAAAAGATGACGATGTCATGCGAGAGGCGGACTCTAGCGCTAACAAGATTCTTTCCGTAACGCTGCATTGTATTATGTGGCCTACAGTGACCTATATAGAATCCATTTCTCGTTGTGGACTACTTGTTTCCAGATTTGTGACGACAGTGGTCATCTTTAGTGTCTCTCGAAGTTTTGGAACAAACGGACGGACAGATGGACGGATTGGCGCTTTTCCGTTGCCAAGGTGACGAAATTCCTTTTGTGAATAGTGCATGCGTTATCAATGAGATTAAGAGTTAAGAAAAACTCAATTTCTATATTTAACATTTTAGAAGTGTATTGCACTGAGAAGAATATATAAATCAATATTTGATTAGTAGCCCCTTTTTGTTGTTGAATTTCAACTTGTTGACTTGGCAATTAAACAATATTGTTTTGTGTTCGATATATTTCAAAGTGAATCTGTGGTATTTAGTCATATTTGCAACGTTCGTCATAAATAACAAAAAAATGCTATAGAATACAGAGAAATAAAATTTACAAAATATTGTCTCTATTTACTACTGACGTCCTAACATTTTTGGGAAGGGTTTGAAATTTACATTTCGTTAAGAGAGAACAAATTTTAGTGGAAGCTGGTAAGAGCTAAATTCACCTTTCTTTATTTAGTTTTCGTTTTAAAACATTTTATCATATACTTAGCATTAATATGATAGCTTTTGCATATGTGTAATGAACGGAAGTACACCAGCCATAATTTCCCACCCGGACTGATAACCCATATCAGGGGCGTCTCGTGCAAAAAACCCATAACAGTGCCTCTCGTGCAGGTTACTTCCGGTATTTCCGGTATCGTATGTTTACTTTTCCATTGTGTCTTCAGATATTTTTTATTATGACGTCAAAATTTTACGGGAACTTTTAGGATGTCCAGTAATGGCGGACAAAGAGCGATAAGGTTTATTGGATCCAGTGGTAAATCTGTTTGTACAGAACCAGCTGTTATTGAAAAAAAGATGTCAACATGGCTAAATCCGATGATATAGATTTTCAAAATGATGCTAGTTTACAATTAGTACTTGCTAATAAATGCCATTGACAATTATGAATCATCTCATATAGTACAACATGTAGTAATAATGATCATAAAACTGTAAATACTTCATCCATGCTTCCAGCTTCCAAATTTTTAATGTTTCAAAATGCCTCTATAGGAAATGGTACCATAATATATATGGAGGTAGTGATGCTATTGTTGGACAATTATAGTGTATTTGTTGGATTCATGATTTAACTTCTTTAAAAAGTTTTTGACTGTTTTAGTTATTTCATTTGTTTATTTGCCTTACATAAAACAATTGTCGGAAGTATATGATAAAAAGATTAATACATGGCCTTTTCCATATCGGCCCGGGTATCATCCCTCGACCCATATCAGCACATCGACTACGTCTCGGGCTGATATGGGGGTCTCGGGATGATACCCGGGCCGATATGGAAAAGGCCATGTATTAATCTCTATATAACATAAGGGAATCAAAATCGACTCGACGGCTGAAAAAAACAAACAAAATTTGGTACATTATAAAATGGTTGGTGCCTAAGCATGTTTTTTTCTATCAAGGATACACCTTTTTCAGATCAACGAGCTGCTGAAAATCACATTTTGTTTGCAAATTTTAACTATATGTGTACTATGTCTTAAAGTCAAAAGAATTAAGTAAGTCACAAATATATTTAATCTTCTTATGAATAAAATCCTACCAGGAATCTTAGCCACAGTGGTAGTCATGATTAATAAGCAAATTATACAACAGCAAATACGAAGGTAAAGATTGATCTCAGCTTATTAATATGCAATGCAACAAAATGTCCGAATCTACCGCTAAACAATATGGGAGTTTTTATTCCTTAGTCTACTATATCACCATGGAGATGACATAATGCAGATACTACAAAAATCATTATTGACCCGTGAAACATGCAATTAAAATAAATAATCAATATTATAAAATGCCGTTTTATATTACTTTTTGCCACAGATGAAAATCAGCGATAATATTTACAAATGCTTCAGGTTTGTTTGCCCTCTGCAATTAACTGTGTTATTCTGTTTAAAATTCATTAAAAAATAGAATGTAAATTTGTTTAGATGTTTGTTAAAGGTACTTTTCTACAGTTCATATTTAAACTGAAAAGAAGTTAATCGATCGTGTTTTAACTAACATGACTTGTACAAAGCCATTTTACACATTTTTGCACAGAATTATAGGAACATAAATTTCTCATAATTGCACTGCTGTTCCAGCGTAATATGTTCTCGTTTATCTGTGTCTGGATTTATTTAATTGTGCAATACAAGCTCAAAACAAATTAAAATCACATGTAATATATCTGCCAACTAACTCAACTAACGACGAGATAATGAAATAAGCAGCCGTTTTGTGATCTTTAACTCCCGACCTTGAGTAAAATAACACGAAGACAGGATCACACTACGACTTTTGTTTTGTAAAATAGAACATGATAGTAAAGGTGTTTAGCATACATCTATATACCAAGATATACCAAGATATGTAAGACGATAAAGAAACAAATATCTTCAAAAGTAAACACATACTAGAAGGTTTTGTCAAATACAAAATATCTAGATTGACTTTATAGCATACTTTTCAATACCTGGGCACGACAGAATAGGAAAAAATTACCTCTACAAATGCCACCCAAATAACACTGAATAGAAAAACATGACAAAATAATTGATGCCGTTCGTTTGTTTTGAAATCTTTCACGACGTTTACTAAGTTAAAAGAAATTTACTTCCTAAATAGATTGCCTAAAGGAATATTCTACCCGTATATATGATTTAAATTCTGAACATATACTAACAAATTACATCTAAAAAACAGCAAATTATATACATAATCAATTACTTTTAGAGCTGTCTTGTCATTTTTCTATGGCGTTCTGTTGGCGTCGCTTTTCCCGAGAATTGTCTTGTTTCGTTGCCATCTTTTCTTTCATTTTCTTCTTTATTTTGAAGACGGAGTCTACTGGCAATGAAATCACTTTTAAATTCCCTAAGGACTGAGCTTCCAATACAGCAGTTATATCGGGTTCGTTAACGGTTAACTCGATGTGTTCCATATTATTGGACAATTCGTAAACAGCGTTTTGCTCCTTGCCTACAGATTCGTTTAGCAAATGCATTGCAAGGAAAGTTTGTCTGTCTGATGCGTATTTCCTCATAGCAGAAATGTCATCTGCAATTTTCTTAACATTTTCTCTTCGTTTCTCGATCTCTCCAATAGTCTTTTCTGATGCTACTTTATAATCGGATTCCCTTGTATTAAGTTCAGCTTCCATTTTTTGGTCAAGCTGATCTAAATGGTCCGTTATCAGGCTCTTAATCAAATTTTTATGCTTCCGACATTGGGCGATTTGCTCCTCAAACTTTCTTACATACTCCTCCCGTTCTTTTTGTGCTGTTTCCAGGTAAGCTGATATGTCATCAATACTTTTTTCAATCTCATTCAGGAGTTCCGAAGACTTTGCGTTATGGACCACATCATTTAGTGGCTTTAGATTATGACAATCCACATGATTTTCCGAGACACATCGAATGCAGCATGGGTGTTTATGGTCTTGGCAATACATTTCATATTCAAGCTTGTGGTCTAAACAGCACTGCTCTGTTTTTAACACAAAAGTGGGTATTTCACTGTAATGCTGCACTGGTATTGTGTGATGATCTTTTGATATTTTCGACAGCTTGTGGTGCTCTGCGCACGATTTGCAAAGGGCTTCTTCGCATTCAGGACAAAATGTCTCTGCAGTTATTCGTGATTTCTTTTTCTGTTCACATATGCTGCATGCTGTTTTAGGTTTTGGAGGATGCATGGCTGAAAAATAACAATCGTTATATGCATTTTCCTATCTCTATTGAATATGAATTATTTCCCTTGTAACTATATTGGTATAAATGGTTCGCTGAAGTGCATAGCAATGGTGAGAAGTGAATAAAAAACAATGTGTTACTTTAATCTACAAAGATTTCCAGCTTTATAACCGAGTTTGATTCCAATATGAAAATAAGGAGATTTGGTATTATTGCCAATGAGACAACTTTCTACCAGAGACTAAATGATGTGGAAGTAAGCATTTATAGGTCGACGTACGCCCTCCTGACTTGGGACAGGTACAATGTATGTTGGAAGACAAAAGACTATTTATAATTTGTTTAATGATTTAAACAAAATATTATCTTTAAAACAACAGAGATTATTAATTCATGATTCCGGAAAAGAGTTTCTAGAAAAGACTTTATCTAAATCTTTGCTAGATCCAAGTCAAGGTATAAATATAAAAAAATAAATTTGAATCAAATAAGTGTAAATTCAAATGAAATATACAAATATATATATCAAACTATGTTTAACTCTGCAGATTAACAGATACGACAGATGTTTATCCGATATCTAAATTGCTTTCTGGGAAAATTGGACTTTATGGTTTAGTTCGAAAAACTCAGTTTTAATTTTCCATCAAGTAACTACTGGCTTTCAGTAAATACTTACATGTGATAAAACATCCGTGACCACCACTCCAGCAACCACCGACAATTTCTTGGTTTTCTCCACTGCTTCTTTTGTCTCTACTCTTGGTGTCATCGTTGCGTTTTCTGCAACCAAGACCACTCTTTTTATTTTTAGCCTCACAGTTTTTACAAGTAGTGGTACGACTAGTCCGATTTTCTGTTGTGCTTGTTGTATTTTCATTTGCTGAACTACGACATCTACAGTCTCCCCAGCAAGATGGGAGACAGCTAGACATCTTATTTCAAAGAAAATTGTGTTAGACACCTGAAAAAGAAAGGTTTAAAAGAAAATTTAGTCTATTGACAGGATAAAAACACAGACAGTATACCCAAATTGCATTCGCAGCGATTTTTATTCAACAGAATGGCCAATAACCAGTACATTCATGGGACATGAAAAAGACCTACACCAGAAAAGAACAGAATACATGTTTCTTTTTGACATTTCATAAATATAACATATGTACTCTTCAGAAGTTAATGAGGTTTCCTTATTTTTCCTGATTGATTTATAAAATAACACGAATACCAATTCTGGTGCAATATCTGTGAAAAACAGACACGATAGTCACCATCTTCCGATTGAGTTAGGGAGATGTCAGGGTTTGCCCAGAGCAGACAGACTATGGCATCTTTGTGACTCAATCGACATTAGTGACTAGCAGCATTACACCATAAACTATATCCCTTGAATGAGAAGGAAATAAATTTTACCACGGTCAGTTCCTAATACCAACAAATTGATTCATAAAACCGTTTAATTCAGCTAACATTGCTTTATTAGAAAAAAAATTATGTAGATCTATATTGTGAAAGTTAGTACACAAAGTAAATGTAAATTGTATTGTTCACATACACATATTATAATTTTACTTTATATTATGTTGCAATATGTTTTCTAACACCATGTATTTTTAGTTTTATTAGAAATAAAGTCATTCATTAGTTTGTGCATTCATTCATTTGTTTAGGATTAACACGGGATACAACGCGTGTTGTTGTTCAATGCAATATTGACGAGTACTCGGTTTGGATTCTAATTAAGATGGACACATGTAGAATTGCTTTTGTGATTTTGTGATTGGTTAAAAGTAGTAGATTCATTATTAAATGTTATGGGACTACAGAACAATATGCTGATTTGCTATGATTCACACATCATCCACAAGGCATATTTTGTATTTACAAGAAATACTTGTATAATAATTAATCCTTTGGGTAAAATTAATTTTATTGACTACGAATACCATCTGATATAGTAAGTACGTGAAAGCATTAATTAATGGTATTAAGTGATGGGATAACATCGATTGGTAGGTGCTGATTTATAACGACCTTCGCTTCATTTCGTTCTAGTTAGTACACGATCAAGACAGAATTGATTATGGTTAGAAATTTTCATCGTTTGGGAAAAAATCTCTCTGAAACGACTGTTCCTTTTCATATTTACATACAATAACTTGTATGTATCAAGAACTGTATATCATTACTATGCACATTGATAAATGTATGCTATATTTGGTCAAGATTGAACGAAAAGTGTTCGCGAAGGCCGATTTAAAGCCCGTACGAATTTTGTGCTATTATTTTGGTACTTTTAAACGATGCATTATATGAACAAATTAAAAAAAAAAAGAAAAAGAAAAACGGTCTTGGTCCCAACGATTCGAAGCAGATTCTTTTTGTATCACTCTATTACATTTTGTTTGTCTTATATTTTTTCAGTGGTGTATCGACAATAGACTTTAAAAGTCTAAAAATGTAATCGGGCATACTTGCAAGGAGATCAATACAGTTGTTGTAATGTTCTAAATCATGTGTTTTTAAACAGCTCTAGATTAACATTTATTTCAGATAATAACCAAAAAAGGAAGCAAGTCATTAAAAAAATCAATTTCATTCAAGATTTTCATTTACGCTTGAACAGATAATTGAATGCAATACAATCAATATATGCTATTTTCGTAACCTGTTGAGGATCTGCTTTCATTAGACATTAAGTGGTTTCTTGGGTACGACATCTCGGCTATAAAGCCGATTCCATTGTTTCTATTTTTTACTTTACTATCGATCTATAACATAGATTTCTATATACCATTTCATTGATGCAACTGGAAACACAATAATGAACTAAAGTTTATATTTGCGGAATAGCTGACTACAAGTTGCAAGAAAACTTCATAAATGTAAATTACAGATTAGTAATACATGGTTAAGTAATTTGACTTGCTGACTTTAATTTCTCTGCATTAAAAATTACACCCAAATATATTCAAGCTAAATTAGAATATTGTAATTAGAAATAAGAAAAGAATCGTTCCATATCAGAGAGCATATATAATTTAGTAGTTTTTTTTCTCAAACGGATCAATGAATCATACGGTTATTTTGTAATTCTACTTATTTTAAACTTCTAGCACCGCTCAATAGATACTAAATTATTCATTGTATATTTCTTACCATGTAAAGGTTTTAATATTATGTAAGTATTGTCTTTTCTGACAAGCAGATCATTTGATTTCTGTACATAGGTCGACCATATACTTCATGGTAGTGTTAATTCACTGGAAACTTAATAAAAAAAACTTGAAACAGATATTGACAAACTTCTTACCTGTATATCTCTAAATAACACTTAAGCTTTCTAATACTTTAGCTGCATAATATTGACATGTTCCCCGCAAAAAAAAATCTATGAGTAAGGAACCGGCTTTAGAACCCCCAAAAATTGCTGTTTGCTTAACGTCCAGTTGCTAATATGTCATGCATATTCACTTACGAGTTTAAATAAACAATTTATACAATAGGTCAGTTTGGCAAAGTAGGTAGACGGTGGCATTATTGGTGATCTGGGCACCTATGGATCCACCAGAGAACTGTTGCGACGGTTCTTTAACATGCAAAGAACGTGTCAGTCTCTATTCCGACTTTACGTGGCTGCGAATTTATACATCTCGCACATCGAAACGGACGCCCCACTTTAACTTGGGTTTTACTGCCAGACGGGATAAGTCGTGGTCTTCAATAACAATAGAAGTGTACAGAAAGATGTAGTTATCTTCAGATCATGATACAAAACCCCACAAGCTGTAACCATATGTTTACGATTACCATTTAATACTAATTCGTAAAAAGTAATTAAATTCGTAAAACTCTTAGAAACAAGGATACGGAAAATCACTAGTTGTTTTATCAAAGATGACTTCTATGTGCTAATTTTCTCGTTTTTTATAATAGCAGAATAGGGTAATTGACTTTTTACAACTGATCAATACGTATCTCTTCCAGTAGTATAACTTTTAATCGATTATTCCGTCACATTTCAGAGCTTTACTCAAATATCAGAGCATCAAGTATTGCAAGCAAAAAGGCTGATATGATTAAAATGCACATATGGAATTCTTACACTTATGTCTAATGAATAAAATGAGCTATTGTATATATGTAAACGACACAGCAACCCAGCAACATGGACACAACAAAAAGCATGTAGAGGTCAACGTACGGTCTTCAAGAAAAGACAAATAATCTACCAAAGTACCGAATATATTAAACAAAGACTATCAACAATCTACCATCAATAGCAAATTGTGATGTTCATGGTTTTGATTATTTCCTTTAATGACAAGAGTTTACATGGCCCACCGTTTACATTATTATTTCCTTTTTAGAAATTAACAGAGGCGGTCACAACCATTTTCGAGATTCTTTGTATTGGACATAATTATGTAATCAATCACCACTTTATTATTTTGAGCAACTGAAGAACAGAAAATACTTTACAATTGTACAATACAAATCTAATACATTGATTTGGTTATATCTATATATAAACAAATATTGTTGATTGTTGAAACCAACCCAACGACATAAACAATCAAAGACAACTAAAGGAAAATATACAGTCTTCAACATTAGAGAGGTGTCCATACAATGAGTAAAGCTATAAATCTCCCATTATACAAAGATATGCTCATATTTATATGTAAATATCACTTTGCCTAAATTTTTGGAGGAATGCCTTATGTTTGCAACTATTGGATCAATGCTATACACATCTGACATTCTTCAACCTTCTTTTTTGTAGTGTTTTCATTGAATAAGATGTATCTCGTTTTTTAACGAATACAGATAAATTCTGTCTAATTGGCATTTGGCTATTTAACTGCTATTTGAATATGAAATAAATACTTTAAAATTGACTAAGAAATCGTGCAATATGTATTTCTCGGTTAGACTTCATTGTAGGCGTTTCTGAAAATGTCAGTATTGCTGGCGGTGTTGGACTAAAACGAAGCCTTAATTAAATATCATTAATTGGTAAAGTCTTTGGTTTCATATGTGACAATTTTAGTGGTATATTCCCATAAAAAGCTAACGTTGTCAGGTTGCATTTCTTGTAATTGATAATTGAATTTCACTTCAGATTGCCAAGTGTAAAAGTTATAAGATGTTTTGTCTTGACATTTTTATTGATATAAAAGCCAGACCGGCAAAATACATTTTCTATCATTTTTTTCCTAATTTGTATTCAACAATTCTTTTCTTTATTTCATTTTCAGAACAGTTCTTTATAGATTTTAGATTTAGCATATTGTGATTTGCTTTAACAATTTAAAAATGAATATTTCAGACAGATTACACTACAGGAAAGCTTTACAAAAATCGATAATAGATTCACAGATTGAAATAGTTTCTGTGTGTGTGGGTGCGTATGGGTTTTCATCTTTCAAGGGATTTTTTAACATACTCGTTTCTGCCATGCATTTGATGGGAAGTTTTTGTTTCTGTGTAAATAGATTTATACAGAATACTGTTACCAAAACTGAAAGGTTTGAAGTTAGCATTATCACATTTTTGTTTGTGTTCCCTTATTTTTCCTTTGCTAATTGTTTAATTAGAACAGCTCCAACAAACCAGCGGTCTAATACCCTTAAATAGTAATAAAAATATCTTTTATCTTTATCTTATGGGGACTGATATCCTATGAAATTTAAATGAGAAGGCTCGCGCGTGCAAAATCTGTTTCTGCCCTCTTCCGGTTTAAAGGGCTATACACAAATTGTGTGACTATCTTGATTCAAACTTGACGCTTCCGTTTATCAGAATGTTTGAACAGTGCAGGTTTAATCAATTCAAAATAATTCGGTCCTAGAACTATTCATAAACTCATATCTGACCTCGTGTCAATGACCTTAAGTAGTCCGATATTGAAATGTCTTGTAATAATCATTATCATTTGTTTTATTATGTTGAGAATTACAAAATTAAAATGCCTATCTTCTTAATGTTAAGAAAATGATGTACAGTCTTAAATTTCAATTTTGTATAAAAGTCACGTGAAACGACAAACACATCTAAATTGATTGATTGAGTGATTATTGGTTTTTAATGCCACTTTCAGCACTATTGGCTATATCATGGAGACCAATTTTTATTGGCGAGAACCACATACCTTCGGCATGAAAGTTGGCAATCCACAAATCAATTTAGATTTGGGTCGAACGCACCTGCCACGTGCGGGGTGCTGATAGCCCAGTGATACAGTAGATGAACTACTTAGAGCAATCGGCCACTGAGACCCCCACAAAATTAAGAGGATGATTTAAATTTGTAACTTACAGAGTGATAAGAAGTAAATTAAGGACTAGTTGATGCTAAGACACCCACTGTCTTCTTTTAACAAACAGGAACAAAATTGCGCTTTTTTTAAACACGACTTTGATTTTTTTTTTTTTTTTTTTTTTTCAAAGGAAACAAACTTTTTTCTTCACTTTCTTTCTGAAAACTTTTTTCCTCAAAAAATGTTGAAGCAAAAAATATTCAAAAATCAAGAATGAACAGGAAGATTCTTTCAAGAGGTTTTGAAAGATTAAATGGAAAGATTGCAATGAGAACGCGCGATTTTTAAGATAATAAAAAAAATCACAAAAGCACCATTTATACGTTAGTCAAATTGCATTCCTTTTGGATTTGTTTTAGAAGAAACCGATTTTCTATCCGTTCTGATTTTGATTAATTTTGGTGACTGTTAAGTCGACTGGTAATGACCACGACCTTCATGTAATGATTTCACATAATTGATAAGACATTATACTGAAACCAAAATTTTGCCCATATTAAAGTTTATCAATTGATGTGTGCCCTTTACCTTTGAACTAGTCAAAATCAAAAAGAGTCTTTTTAACTCAAAAAGGCGTAGTATCCATGAAAGATTGGTAACGAACTGAAATATGGCTAAAAGGAAATTGTCTAAAAACTTTTCCTAAACGTTAAACCTTTGGATATGAACTTTACCTTGACCTTTGACCTACAAATCCAAATATCAATAAGGTCTTGCTCATTCCAAAGAGTATTCCTTAGGTAATGTTGTTGAAGGTTAGATATATTAATCCAACGATGTCATCTTGAAAATATATAGTTTGGATTCGAAACTGTTTCCAAAGTTCAGTTTGAAATGTGACCTTGAACTTTGACCTATCAACAAAAACATAAATAGAAACCGTAATTTGCAAAAATTTGATATGCAATAGAAGTTCCTTTATAATATAAGTTCCAGATGAAAGAAATATCATGGAATATTATTTCCAATGGAAGAAATATTAAAGTATTTGTTTTTAAAGGACTAAAGAGTAAAGGATATGTGTGCCAATAGGAACAGATATTATAACATTGTTTATAACAAAGTTTCCAGAGAAACTTCTGTCAGAAGAAACAAATATACGTTGACATATTAATCGATGTTGTGACTTTGGCCTTTTTTAAAGTGACCTTAACATAAACAAGGGTCGTTTTCATTAAATGGGACATTAACCAACTAAGCTTGATTATATTGAACGTCTTGATCAGAAGATATCATTTGGAAATCAAAATTTTGCCCAAATTCAGTAATTTCTGATGTAAGTTTGACTTTTGACCTTGTGGACCCAAAGTCAATAGGATCTTTTAATCCTGTGGTACATTATCAAGTCATTAAAAATGATATTGTGCCCAGTTTTTCCAAAAATACATGAAAAAGGTAAAAGAAATCACCAAAAATACTGATACAAATCCATATTAAACAGCGACTCCTCCTAAAAAAAACAGACATACACAGAAAACAATAACTTAATCGCAACTAGACTAAACACTGAATAAAGTATTCCGTTAAGTTATTATTCAGTTTCCAAAACATAGCAACTAGTCCACTTTAAATATTTTGAGAGGACCCTAAAGTATTCAAATCAAACGTTCGACGGTTATCTATATTAAAATTAAGATAGAAATGATACTGGAATTCCCTGGATTACTGACGACTGATTTAAACATTGAGTGTTCGGTTTTTAACATGTTATTCGACATGATTCGAGGGTGCACGCTTTTACAAAGTCTTGTACTTTTCATCATTTTGCAGAAGTATAAATTTCTTCCGCACAACTTTGGTAAACTTAGTAATACGAATTATGGAAATGACTTGTCTGAAATAAGGACAGCTTGTTTGTTATTTTCTATGACGTAGAACTGTATCTCAATATTAATGAAATATGACGCAACCATAAGTATAAAAATGATGCAGCAATATGTTGTGATAGGTATTATTTTATAATAAGGTTTATTTATCACTCATCCGCAGTCGCGAACAAAATGGACTTTTGTGAAATAAGTGAATACAAAAGTGGAATTTTTTTTATATCTCGTTCACAGTATATGAACTTTTGGGAGTTTCTTCCTTTTTTCATTTTTTCCATTTTTTTTTTCGGGAGGGAGGATGGAATTGTACCATACATATATTAAATACCATTTATATAATATCCTTCATATATTCACAAGACATTTGTCTGTAAAATATTAGTATTTATATTTATGAATTGTGTCTAAGCCTATAAAGTTGCTTAATTACTCCAAACAGAGGCTTTTTGCGTTTCATATAAAACTGCATTCTGATATCTTCTCATTTATATTTATGTATGAGATCAGGCTTTGGTTAAAAACATATGTTGTTACCAGATAAAAAAAAAAGTTAATTTTGGTAAACTATCTGTTTGAATAAGGCCTTGGCTCATATCTACTTATACCAAAACATTCGTGTGAATGGATGTTTTAGATCAAGTTATACTTCAATTTTGATATATCTATGAGCTCATAGTGACAACACGACTGATTATTCTGGACTGAAGTGGCTAGATAATATCATTTTATTCATTTATCAGTAGAACTAACATACCTTTGACAGGTTTAAAGGACTTCAATATGTTGGGTATTTCAGAAACCAAATAATGTTCTTTTTCATATCTCCGCCTTTGTTGTTTCATTTTATTTTTTTAATATAATTTTGGAAATTTTCCATCCTTACCTTATAGCAGATTTTCAGAATTCCTTGTTTACTTCTTAGAATGAGTCATACAGTTCTCGTTCGATCAATCGATGCTATTAATTAGATATCTAAAACGCAATTCTTCCATAAAAATGTCAGCAGAAGGAATAAGATATCCCTGAATGTTAATTATGTCGGCAAATTATTTGAATATTGTACACTTACAATATATAGTTTTTATATTCTTTTAACTAAACATTTATGTTTTCTTTCATCATCAATTTTCCAAACTGTATGCTGAAGAGAGAATCCAATGGTGTTGCCGTATTCAGTTTCGATCGATATTGGTTGATATTTCAATCACCACCGTTATTGACTAAATACGTGACTTCATTTGATAACAAATTAAACAGTCCGCCAAGTTTTGAGAAATTGTTCAGGCCATGAATATTAAAAACTACTTGTTCAGAAAAAGAAATGATTGTTCAATGATGGAATTTCCTCTGTTTCAAAACTAGATTCCATCGAAACAATTATCTCCGGATATACGACATTTCTCATGGCAAGCGATTTTATCCTCATTGGTGAAAATGAATAGGTGAACCAAAACGACAGCCTGATGGTTTTTCCAAAACAACAGAATGTGATAGTCAAAGTGGCAGAATTGATTTATTTGCAAAAGATTTTAATGTTTTATTCTTTCTGGTTCACTAAATGTAATAGTATTTCTGGGACATTATTATTCGGTATTGCAGTATTTACTTGTTTAATAAATTTTCTATCAATATTACATTCTTCGACTCGTATAATAATCCATCAACATAGTGTTGATTCAGTACTCTAATGATATCCAATCTAATCACAAATCGTGAGTCTTTGAGCATGTATTGTCAAATACGTTTTAATATGTCTCTGGATATTATACCAAATAAATTGTCAGCAAGACAGGACGGCTGCGAAAAGAATACCGAGCCGAAGTCAATCATTTGTAGCTGACCTGATCTGAAAGGTAATCTGAGGTAATGCCTTGACTTAGCTCTCGTCGTCGTTCATTTTACATATTTATCTTGTTCTTTGGAAACATATCTATTTTAACCAAATTTGTCAAAAATAATTTATTGAAGGTTTTCTACAAACAATTTTCATTTGGTTCTGATCAAAGCCAGAGATAACATTTGATTCTGATTGGCCAAATCATTTTCTCTGCCAACATTAACCAAATATAGCAAGAATAGTGTATTAAAGGTCCTTTACAAACGACCCTCACACAAACTTGATCGAAAACAATCTTGAGTGGCAATAAAAATCCTCTTCTATGAAACTGAAGGGCGAAATGTTTTGAAAGTTAGGATTGGTGATTTGTAGACCATATACAAATTATTCTCATTTAATGTTGTATGGGTGGCAAACATTTCGACAGTGGTCTCAAATGTTTTCTTTTGAAACTCTTTCGAATTTTATGGGTTTTTTCCTTATTGTTAATTTTTATGTATGTAATAGTGTTAGTTTTTTCATTAGTGAGCATCGTCGGGGAATTTTTATGATACATGTATAAGCAGTGACTGATCTTTGGTGTCTCGTCGATGTATATATATTCCATTTGTATGTATATACAGTCTATTCTGCAAGTTGTCTGAAATGTACTTTGGTGGATATCATGTCCCTTTCTTTTGTAGGTCTCATCATGGAAGTTTTATAGTCATTTTACCTTTATGGTCTCATTTAATGAATTTTATAAATTACATCATTCCTTTTGTGTGGAATGCTGATCTAATTAATCAACTCATGAAACCCCAATTGGAAACTTTGATTAAGAACCTGCTTAATCATTTCTTATTGGCACTGTCTGTTCTTTAATGTGAGCCATTGATTAGTTTCGAACAAACAAATGACCTAGTTTAAATTTGTATGGATCAATTTATATTGGAGATAAAGGGGTGGAAGGGTACACACTTTTTCCTGTTTTTGCAGCGTGGACCCGGCTTATAGTATGATGAATGTACGACAAGCGGATGCACTCGGTGACGGTTCTCCTTTTCTTTGTGTGTAATAAACTCCTATAGTTTCAACTCAGTCTTCAAAGGTTCTTAATTGGAAGATATGCATCTTATTATCTCTATGTGCACATATTAAGAGTATTTTTGCAGATTTTACGAATAGTAAATTTTTAGAAGTATTGTACACGTGTCTTGCTGGTACCAAGTTTTTGAAATAAACTTCACTGAAATTAAATCGTTGTAGATTGTTTTAAATACATTAAAATGTGCACCTGAATTTTATGATCTTATTTAGATCATGGTTTGCAGATTTTGTAGATGGAGAAACGAAGTAAATTTGAGCAACATTCTCGATGAAGGTTACTCATTTTGTTTTATCAATTTTCTTTGTGCACTCATTTGTATATTCGAGATGGTAATACTTTTACTAGCTTTCTCGATGGACGGTATGGAGGGTTTACCATTTTTTACGATTCTGTCTTCTTTGCCTATATATGGTAGAGTATTTTTCCTTGTTTTTTTTTCTAACTTGAAGAAATCATCAGATGCCCCCGTTGCGTAGATGTTCTATAAGCATATATCAAATACTAGTGTCATTACCGTTAGTATTGCATACTAACCGTTCGTGTTTTTTGTTTTATTTCGAATTATATTTATAGTTAATCGTACAATTTATGAGATACCGTGAAAGATCTATTTTCTGTGAAGTATTTCTAATCGAGCTTTATATTGTCGACAAACTGTTCATCTTTATTCTGCAAATAATTGAATATTGTTGTCAGAAATGATCAAAACTCACATAGTATTGTGAATTGTGATCAAACGCGTTTCAGGTCATTATCTTGCCGGGATGCCAGATACGTTAACTTCAAATACAATAACCTAATTTGTTGTTGCAAATTATCCCTTATATTTAAGTTGTATATTCCATATGAAATTGACCTTCTCGCTACTTTTGTAACCACGTCATACAGTGTAGAATTATATGAATGGCTTCATTGACTAAATGATATTTGCTTTTATTGTATTGGGGTTGACGTCTTTGATGTCCAAGAAGAACAGGAATATGAATAATTATTTGCAAATGTCTATTTGTCTGCAGTTAAAAGGGAAATTGGATGAGTTTAAATGAAATAACCGTTCACATGAACTATTTTAAAATTGAGCGCTTCTTTTTGTAGCTTTATTGGACGTAAGAGCGTTGACCGAAGACCATTTTCTATGAAATGCGTTATGACGCATAGAAACGCGTCATGCTAAACATGCATGCTTTCCCGTTTGAATGGTTTTACACTAGTAATTTTGGGGGCCCTTTATAGCTTGCTGTTCGGTGTGAGCCAAGGCTCCGTGTTGAAGACCATACTTTGACCTATAATGGTTTACTTTTAAAAATTTTGACTTGGATGGAGAGTTGTCTCACTGGTACTCATACCACATCTTCTTATATCTATATGGTAACCGCTTTTACAACCATTTGATAGCCATGTTCTAAGTAATTTTCCTTTTTAATGTTGTTAAAGGTCACCTTTCTTTTTTGTCTTGCTTGTAACAACATTTGCTGATGGCAAACCTCCCCTTAAACATGTCTAAATTGAAAACAACGTTCAAACCTATGATTGCGTTGGATAAAAACCGCAATTTTTATACGTGTGCATGCAAAACAACGTTCTTGTTAGAGGGGTCTAAATACAGCACAAACAACATTTTCCAAAAGACCAAAAAAGTGAAAAAGTATATTTAAACAAAACGCATTTGACTAACAGGTCGAACAACAAATGTTCTTAAACCCTGCTGACTGCCATTGGCGATTGCCAAATAAACGGATCACCGATGTAATAAATGGATCTTAATTTTAAATTTAATACTTAACAGAAAACAATAAACTTGCGGAAAAGATGGTATACCGCAAACAAAAGGTGCAAAGGTTTTTGTACACCATATCCGGATTTCGACAATTAATGTCTCTTCAGTGATGTTAGGATTCGAAACGGTATTTGGAAAGCCATACAATTTACCTCAATTTAGGATAGACTCTTGAATTTTGAGGAGTCAAAATAGGATGAACGGATCATATAAACCCGAAGGCATATATATATATATATATATATATATATATATATATATATATATATATATATGATAAACTGAATAAAATGCCTCTTTGCAAATTCGATACATGTAGTAATATATAAATCTTTGATTTTTCTCTGTTTTGCTTGTTTTCCTTTCCTGTATTTCGGGAAATACAAAAAAAAAGTTAAATATGTATATAATTCATTTTCCGCTTTTCCAACGCAGCTTAACATGTTTATATTATATACAAGATTTAATAGAAAGCGATTATATTTTTACACATAAAGCGGAGCTCGTCAACAATTGTCATATATTCACATGACAGTCAATTATATCTTACTAAGAAAATACGGCATGTCGCAATTGAAGCTGCACAACATATCAAAGAAATAATGTTTTTTGAACTACTCTTATCCGTCGTTTGAACATGCAAAGCAATAATAATATTTTGTCAAATGGCAGCAATATGTTTGTTTTATCATTACATATGTCTGCGAAAGAGAAATCTTTTTTAGTCGAGCTCATTTTAATACTTGATGGCTGATAGTGTCAGGAAAATAGGACACCAAAGACAAAATGTAAGCCAGATCGATAAAACTTGAGTATGGTTTTGAAATAACCTCTGCTTTTACGAAAAAAAATTATATAACAAGTTATGGAGGGCTAGTCCAATTGTAATTGTAAAATACTCTCGTCGTCAGTTTATAGAATAAAAAGTAAAATCACAAAAATACTGAACTCCGAGGAAAATTCAAAAAGGAAAGTCCCCAAACAAATGGCAAAATCAAAAGTTCAAACACATCAAACGAATGGATAACAACTGTCATATTCCTGACTTGGTACAGGCGTTTTCTTAAGTAGAAAATGGTGGATTGAACCTGGTTTTATAGCTAGCTAAACCTCTCACTTGTATGACAGTGGCATCAAATTCCATTATATTGACAACGATGCGTGAACAAAACAAACAGACACAATAGGTAAAAATGTCAAAAATAGGGGTACAGCAGTCAACATTGTATTATCATCTTAATCACTATAAAAACAAACAAATGTAACGAAGAAGCACAAAAGGCATACATCAAATTTAACATCCTCATTTTGCTTATATTATACGATTTTATTTATCTACAGTAAAGTAATATTAATAAATAAAATAATTTTGTCGTTCAAAGTATGACGGGATACATATAAGCACAGAGTCACGTCAAATGGATATCTAAAAAACAGACTTAACAGTAAAAGTCATATTAATAAAGACAAATAAAAGAATACTATAACACGTTATTAAGATGATAAACAACGTCAGTACGCAAAATCTATACTTCAAGACCATCGTGTATTATTTGTGAAGTTGATACGGAATATTTATCAACAAGTTCTTGGTACCTTCCGATGAACTTTTTTTAGAAAAAGGACGAGACGTTCTTTGACATACCCCTGGTTCATCAACTTTCTGCTCAGACACTGGTGACGTTT